AAATAGGCCATCCTTTTTAAAACGCCCTTCGCTCGTCCCTTCACCATAGAAAGGCACTTTGTGTGTGTGTGTGTGTGCGTGTGTGTGTGTGTGTGTGCGTGTGTGTCTGTTTATGTTCATAATAGGCATAATTACATAACCTGTTCCCACTCACTAACAGTAAAAACTTTATTTTTTATTTATTTGCTTTTATTAAGGAAGACTAATGGTGGAGGTGGAAGGAAGTTTTATGTGGAGCTAATAGTGCTTCTTTTTTTTTTTTAAAGAGGTATATTCAGTATATTCAAAGCTATAAGTTACGAGAGATTATACTAGGAAAAAGATAGCATATTACAATGTCTCTAGGTGGTCAGACTTTGGCTATTTATAAAACATTTAATTATATCACAGATGTAGTAAGGACACATTTCACAATGTCTGACCTTGGCATCAGTTATGATCATTCTATGCAACCAAGACAGCTTCAACCCACCTCCATGCAGCAATCTTGCAAAGACTTTTTAAAAGACTTTAAGGTCATACAAATTTGATTGGTTGTGAAATTTGGCTCTGCCATTTGCTAGCTAGTTTCTATACCATCAAGTGGGAATAATCCTACCTACTTCACAGGGCTGTTGTAAAACACTGTGCTTAGTACCGTGTTTGCTATGTAATCAGATTGACTCAGCTTCCCTATAATAATCAAATGCCCAAGTCTAAGGCAATTTAATAAAACATGAACTTTTAACTCAATTTCATTTAGATGTCTCAACAGCTAAGAGGGTCCCTATTGTCATCAGGCCCACAGAAGACAACCCAAAGAATCACAGGTGGGGAATCCACTGAGTTCGGGGGAAGTCTGACATATTGAGTTCAAGGTCTCATTCTTCAGTCTTTTACCCCACTCTGTCTTCTTTTCCTTTCCTTTTCTTTCTTTTTTTATGAGACAGGGTCTCACTCTATTGCCCAGGCTGGAATGTTGTGGCACAATCATGACTCACTGCAACCTTGAACTCCTGGGCTGAAGAGGTCCTCCAACCTCAGCCTCTGTGGCTGGGACTACAGGTACACACCACCACACCCAGCTAATTAAAAAAAAAAAACGAAAACAAAAATTTGTAGAGACGAGTTCTATGTTGCCCAACTAGTCTCAAACTCTTGGGCTTAAGCCATCCTCTTGCCTGGGTCTCCCAAAGTGCTGGGATTACAGGCGTGAGCCACCACTCTGTCTTCTTTCAATTACTCTCTTGTTATTGAAAGCTCTACCTTGGTTTACCATTTTCTTTACTATGTAGTTCTTTCTCTTATTTTCATTCTTTCAGAGGCCTCAACCCATAGGTGATGGAAGAATGATCCTCTCTGCACAGATTAGAAAACTTTCTGTAAATGTCAAGAAAAAAATATGGTCTCCATCACAACTATTCAATTTTGTTGCTGGAGTGCGGCCACAGATTGTATGTGAACAACTGGGCATGTCTGTGTTCCAAGTAAACTTTGTTTGCAAAAACAAACAGTGACAGGTGTGGCCTGTGGGATGGAGTTTGCTGACCTCAGATCTACTTTTGACCTAGAGTGCTGAGGCATAATTGTGTCCTGGGCATTTTTCTCTATCTCTGTTCTTCAAAAAGGGATTCATTTAAATAAATACTCATTTGTGGATCTTTGCCTTATTACAGATAAATGTCCAAAGTGCTTAATTTCCTGGGCATTTATCATTCTGTTTAAAGACATTTCAGAAAGCTAGCCTCTGTTTAAAGACATTTCAGAAAGCTAGCCTTTCCTGACTGGTAGAAACTGCCAACAAAAATATGTAGGCCTGGAGTTTCCATTGTGGGAAGATTTTCTTTAAATGATAATGGGATTATTCAGTTTCTTTCTTCCAAGTAATGTAAATCTGGGCTGCAACTTTACAGGGGGTCTGGCTTATGGTCACATCTTCTTAGATATTCTGGGGCATTTTTTTTCTTTTCTTTTTTGCAGTCTCCTGATAGTGAGGAGTGAGGTATGTCCCTTTGGCTTGTCCTCAGCCCTGAAGTTGAAGTTCTCAGAGGTCCCATCTATATAGAGATGAGGTCTTCCAACCTTGGACAAGTCCTGGGTTTTGACCTCTCTATCCCATGCTATGGAATGTCAATTAAACTGAAGGGAAAGTTCATGAATTTGGCAAGTGCCCTCAGGGCAAAAAAGTTTCAGTGCCCTGCTTGTTTTTCCACGTCTCTTTCACTTAGAATGTTTGTCCTTAGAATTCCAAATATTTTGTTTGCTCTTTAATGCCTTAAAGAAAACACATTCCATACCTTATTCAGAATTTTTAGTTGCTTTAAGTGGGATGCTTCATCTGAATAATCTACTCAAACGTGTGACCCAGAAGTCGATGTCCATGGTACTTCTCATTTTAGACGATTGCAAATATCTCTTTAAGTAACTTTGGTAAAAAATATTCCACTTCTTCTACAAAAATACTATTATTTTTTAGGCTCACTGATTTCATATACATTGGGGAAAGCACAACTAAATTAGTCTGTACATGGCTTGTTGTTCTAAATTAAATTGTACATCTTACACGTGCTTAATAAAACTAGTAAAGTATATAGCAGTTATCCTCAGGGAACTTGAGCAGAAAAGAATTATTTGTAATCTCATAATTATGTGAATAAATGGCTCTTGTAAAAGTGCCCAAGGGTGCTTGAAATTGCTCTTGGAATGACACAAAGGGCCTTGATTTGAAGAAGTTTGTAAGTCAGTGACAGTCTGAGGGGGGCATAAGCCACCATTTTGTGGGCTGGGGCTGGTCATGGCTCATAACTGTGGTTGCACATTAGAATGACCTGTGTACTGGCTGGGATTGACATTCCAAGATTTCGAATCTGGAGTGGAGTCCAGGCATCCAGGTATTTTTAAATTCTTCATGTAGTCCTACTGTGATGCCATGGTTGAGAGTCACTGGAGTAGGTAGTTCAAGCAATGGGGCAATCACACCTGTAGCATTCTAGGTTCTGGTAGGGACTGACATTCAAAGATGTCATAGCTGGTGGGTTGACTCCCAAGATAGTCATATGATGTTCCACTGACATTATTGAACACCGGAGCTCAATGGGACCTGAGCAGTCATCTGGTGTGGTCTTTGCAATGACTATTTCTTATTGTGAAAGATTCATGTCATATAGAGAAATTATTATAGACCTCATCTCTACAATAAATCAAAAAATCAGCCAGGCGTGGTAGCGCGCGCCTGTAATTCCGGCTACTTGGAAGGCGGAGGCGGAAGGAGCCCCGGAGCCCAGCAGGTCGAGGCTGCGGTGGCCGGGAGCGGCCACTGCACTCCAGTCTGGGCGACAGAGTGAGACTCCAACTCAAAAAAAAAAATAAATAAAAAAATTTCTCTACCACCCGCACTTATATATTTTTTTATTTTAGAGTTGCAGGGTGCATGTGAAAATTTTCGCCATCAGTAAATTGTGTACAGGTGAGGTTTGGGCTTCTAGCAAGCCCTCTCTCCCCCATAGTGGACATGGTTCCCCACCCAAATATTGAGTAAAATGTCAATAACATTTGAGAATCTGTAGTAATATTGCTAGGAGAAGAGAGTTAATATATTTTAGCTGCAAGCAGTCCATATGGTCGTTTATTTATTTCTTTAGTTTATGAATTTAGCAATTTTTTTTTAAAGATTCAAGGGGTCTGTGTGCAGGTTTGCTACCTGGTTATGTTGCATGATGCTGAGGTTTGGGTTTCTACTGAGTCCGGCCACCCCAGTGGTGATCATGGTATCCAGTAGGTGGTTTTCAACCTTGCTCCTCTCCTTCCCTCTCCCTTTAGGAGTCCCAGTGTCCTTTGCAGCAATGTGGATGCAGCTGGAGGCCATTATTCCAAGAAAATTAACACAGAAACAGAAGACCAAGTACCGCATGTTTTCAATATAAGTGGGAGTTAAACACAGGATACACGCAGGCATATGACTACTATAAAGTCAGAAGGGCAAATCGGGTAGACTGAGTACATGGGGGCCTGCTTACTGATTGCATCTCTGGCAGTTTTTATGACCATCTGCTGTGTCTCCATATATTTTAGAGTCCTGAACTCTAGAAGGCATGATTGACATTATTTTTGTCATTAAAACTTTTTTTAAAAAGCAACTTCTTTTTAGCAAGACTTATCCCAGCAGTGGAATGTATTCTTAATTTGAAACAAAATTTACTTAACAATAAAAGTAATGTTTTTGAGTCGGGTTCTCACTTTGTTACCCAGACTGGAGTGCAGTGGCACACTCATGACTCACCACAGCCTCGACCTCTGGAGCACAGGCAGTCCTTCTGCCTCAGCTTCCCGAGTCACTGGGACTACAGGCATACAGACTTTAGGCACACACTACCATGCTGGGCTGATTTTTTTTTTTTTTGGTAGCAAGAAAGTCTCGCTATGTTGTCCAGACTGGTCGCGAACATCCTGGCCTCAAGAGATCCTCTCATCTTGACCTCCCAAAGTGCTGGATTGCAGGTGTGAGTCACCACACCCAGGTAAAATTAATTTTTAAAGCAAGCAGTGAGCTGACAGCTCTCTCCATTCCTCTGTACATAGTCAATGCTGCAGTCAGCCCAGCCTGCGTCTGCTTCCTGGACAGAAATTCTGGCTTTCCTGCTTCCTATTCACGCTTTCCACTCTCTCCTGGTCTGCCGCTGCCAATCTGTGAACAAGGAACCTCATGAATTCTGTTGTTTCAGAATGTGATACTGTAAACCCACACTCCAGTACCTCTGAGGCAACTTACCCCAAAGACCAAATCTATTTCATATTTTAAAAAAATATTTAAGACATGTTTATTTCAAAATCTTCATTCCCCACTGTAATACATTTGAGTTTCCACTTAATATTTGAGTTTGCAGATAGACTGTTAATTTAGGTAGCTACTAGCTATCCTTCAGACTTGCAGAGCTCAATGAAACCTCTTAAACACATACGTTATACCCTTAAACTGTAAGAATTTAGGGGTTAAATAAAACAAATGAGAAACCATTTTTTATTTACATCAGTTTATACATATTTGAATCTTACCGGCCTGACTTGTTTCCAATGTGAAAACCAAATGAAAATTAACTTGATCACCTTGCTTCAAACTTAACTGTTCACATACCATACTCCAACTCCATCCATGTAAAAGTAAACTCAACTTTTCTGTATCAAAAAAGCTACTTAAATTCAGCGGTGTTGAATCTTTCATAAACAAGAAAATATGGATTGATGAAGATTTCCTAGGAAGCTACTATAAGTAGCTTTTTATCCTGCATATTAATACATTAAAACAAAATATTAAATATGTAAAATATAGATATGAGAGTATTCCATTCTGTCCAAACCTACTAAATACCTTCCAAAAGTTTCATAATTCTGTCCTAGAAATTCTTGGAGCTGTGAGCATATCCTGTTCAGAAATGGGACCTCTACAAAAGCTCCCAGGAAATTTCAGAAAACATATATATAATCTTCTAGTTTAAAAACTGATTGATTTGCCAAATGATGCAGCCAGGTTTGCTTCTCTAAAAGTTTCTGATAAGGTCGGATGTGCATGACAGACTTGAGCTATATCTTCACAGGATGCTCCATATTTCAGAGCAAGAGCAGCTTCATTTACCATTTCTCCAATACCTGGTCTGAGAATATGTGCTCCCAGCACTCTGTCTGTTGATTTCTGCCCGAGAATCTTCACCATGCTGTGTCAGCATTTGTCTTAGCTCTGCTGTTAGGAGCAAATGGGAATTTGCCAACTTTGTACTCAATACCCTCTTCTTTCATTTGCTCTTCTGACTTGCTAACCCAAGCAATTTCAGGGTGTGTGTAAATCACTGATGGCACACAATTGTAGTCAATGTGCACAGCGCCACCAGCCATTCCTTCAACGCAGATAATGCCTTCATCTTCAGCTTTGTGAGCCAGCATAGGACCAGCAACAATGGGATAGATATTTGGAATTTTGATTTGGAATCTGGTATTGACTGGAATTCTACCTCTGGGATCTAGCCCAATTCCAAGCTCTTCTAGTCCCAAATTCTGAGTAAAAGGTTGTTGACCAATGCAAACCAAGAGTACCTCACAAGTGATAACTTCTGCTTTGCCACCAGAAGCAGCTTCAATAGAAACATCAATCTTTCCATCTGACTTCTTGGTAGCACCAGTAACCTTTGTACTCAATTTAAATTTAAACCCCTGTTTTTGAAGAATGTGTTGAAAGTTCTTAGATATCTCTGTATCAATTCCAACTCCACCTACGTGACCCAAAAATTCAACTGCGGTCACATCTGCACCAAGTCTTTGCCAAACTGACCCCAATTCTACACTTATTACTCCTGCACCAATAACTCATCTTTTCTGGAACTTTTTTTAAAGATAAAGCACCTGTGGATGACACTATTGTGTCTTCATCAATCGTGATTCCAGGAAAAGGGGTAACTTCTGAACCTGTAGCTATAAGAATGTTCTTTGTATCAATAGCCTGAGTGTTGCCATCGGCTTTCGTAGCAGTGACCTGATTTTTGCCAGTTATCTTTCCATATCCATTGACATGAACAACCTTATTCTGTTTGAATAAGTGGGCAATTCCACCTGTTAAAGCTTTGACTGCAGTACTCTTCTGCTCCGTCATCGTCTCTAAATTCAAGCGAACTTCAGACATTTCAATTCCTCTAGATGCAAAATCTTTTCCATGAGCCATATGGTAATAATGAGAGTTATTCAATAAAGCCTTAGAAGGAATACAACCAACATTCAAGCATGTCCCATGAAGTGTTTCATTTTTCTCAACGCAGACTGTCTTGAAGCCTAACTGGGCAGCTTTAATAGCAGCAACATAACTTCCAGGACCAGAACCTATAACTGTTACGTCAGCATCAATTGACTGATCTGCATAAATTTTCAGAGGCACTGCAGAAAGTCCCTGTAGGCCATGAGATATTCGATTGAAATGGTTCCGCTTGGCCAAGGAGTAGTACACTCGACTCCAGCTCTGCATTTTTCCGCAGTACTTTCCCTCCCGTCAATGCTTTCACTTCCGCTGGGTGCCTCAACCGCTTCGCCCCTATTTCATATTTAACAAATAATTAGTAAGAGCTTATTTCGTGAAGGTGTAACAGGCTAAGAAGTGACCATTTGGGTTATTTAGGATTTTTTTAAAGGCTTATTTTTGTGGCTAAGACCAAGCTGAACGTAAACTGCTTGGACTTAAAGTGCATGTTTTTTTCTTCGTCTTCTCCCCGCTTCACTGTCCTTGGAATGTAACCCCTCTTCTTTTGTGCTAGCATGGCTTTGCCCACTGGTTTGGAAGGTCAATTTATCTAACAAGCTGGTACTGAAGAAAACAGTTGACCGTGAGAAATGAAAAAGTTACATGTCTCTGAAAAGACCTTCAAGAGATAAGAGAGACTCAAGGGAAACTCCTTGAAACCCTTAAAGTGTACTCATTTCCTTAAATGTAAATCTCTTCTGTGGTTTTCAATTTAGATTCACATCTTATTGTTATCATTTGTTAGGTCATATGTGAACATGAACTTGCTATTATAACTAAATAGAAGAGGTTCAGTTTGGGATTTTTTTTTTTTTTAAAGACTAATGTAGTCTAACACTGGTTTATGCCAATAGATGCTGAAAAGACTAAGTGCTGATTAAAAAGAAACCTTGAGCCGGGCACAGTGGCTCATGCCTATAATCCAAGCACTTTGGGAGGCGGAGGTGAGAGGACTGCCTGAGTCCAGGGGTTTGAGATCAACCTGGGCAACTTGGCAAGACCTCATCTGTACAATAAATCAAGAAATTAGCTGGGTGTGGTGGTGCATGCCTGTGATTCCAACTACTTGGAAAGCTGAGGAGGAAGATCAAGGCTGCGGTGGCTGTGAGCATGCCACTGCACTCTAGGCCTGGGTGACAGAGTGAGATTCTGACTCAAAAAATAAAAAATAAAAAGAAACTTTGGGTATTATCATGAGACACGTAGACACTGTAAATCAATAGTTGAAACAGATCAGACATTGCCTGTTTTAGATTAAACTGAATGTAAAATTTGCCTCAGTGAACACTCTTTTTAGTTGATACCAGAGCCTGTTCCCTGATTTCTGGTTTTCAGAATAAACGCCCATTTTCTCCCAGCGTCTGCCTCTCTCCGCTTGGCCATGAGAGATGGCAGCCAATTGATTCATCGGGCCATAACAAAGGTATAACACAAGATAAAATGCTAAGTGCTACATAGGATACAAAAATATGCCCCCAGTGTGTACCCTTAAGGAACTAACATGTTCTTTCACTTGTGATTTACCATCTGTTATTGTATAAGATTTCAGTCTCCCTACTGTTTTGCTCAAAGCCTTATTGATCAAGAAGTTTCTGAGCTAGAGGAATTCTCTATTGGGTTAACCTACTCCCCCAGTCCTTCTCTGCTGCTTTGCTACTGAGTTTCTGATCCAGAATCAGAAATAAGTAGGTCAGCTTTTGTCAAACTTATTAGCCAGCATTTTCTTTCTCTGAAGCCCTCACACAGCACAGCTATTTTTGTCATGCATAGAGACAGCTCTTTGAATGACAGTGTCCCCCAACCTCATTACTCCAGCTACCACTAAGCAAGGACCTCTTTCACAAATTTACTCAATCTACATCTTTTAAGAAATTTTTATTTTAAAAAAATTTTTTATAGAGACGAGGTCTTGCTATGATCTACATCTTTTTTGAACTGTCCCATTTATCATTTATTATAGCTTTGTAAACATGCATAACTTTAAAGGAAATTATCTTAAAATGTAGTTGAGTTCTTAATTTCAAGTAGAATGTTCGTACTATCTTGAAAAATGACAACAGACCCTCTGAGTATAATTTATTTAGGAAAAAAATAGATATTAAACAATCTGAGGACATGCGTACTGGTTCATGCCTATAATGCACTTTGGGAGGTGGAGGTGAGAGGATTGCCTGAGCCCAGGAGTTTGAGATCAGCCTGGGCAACTTGGCGAGATCTCATCTCTACAATACATCACATAAGTAGCCAGGTATGGTGGCGCGTGCCTGTAGTCCCAGCTACTTGGAAGGCTGAGGCTGAAGGATCGCCTGAGTCCAGCAGGTCAAGGCTGCAGTAGCCATGAGCATGCCACTGAATTCCAGCCTGTGCGACCGAGTGAGACTCTGACTCAAAGAACAAAACAAAACTATCTGACAAGTTTTTAAACACAATGTAGTTATGAAACTTGAATACCTTGAGAATGTCATCACTCAGTCATAAGTGAGTGGTCACTGAGTCATCATTCATCTGCCCAAACTATATTACTTATTTTTAGACACAAACCTAATATGCATGTATAGAATCATTCAATATAAAACTAATTTTAAGATATAGCAATTAAATATAATTGCTTATTATCCATACACAACAGAAGGCCAGATGTAACCAACTAGAGCCTGGGCAAAATCCAGGGCACTAGTTTCCCAAGCTTTCCTGGGTTTGTTCCCCAGGCTATGCCTCATTAGCCCAAAGGAAATAATTACCCAGGACCAGGGAAAAACAAGAGTACCAGTAAAGTCTCGTCATCGATCAACAGTGCACTTCTTCAAGAGGTCTACAAGATGTCACAGTTGTTCAGGCCCAGGAGAAGAGACAAAATAAACATGGCACTTTCTCAGGCTTTAAGACAGAGACTCTGACAGAAGAAAAGAGATGGTGCATTCTTATAAATCTATAGAAGTTACCTAAGACCTGGAAGGATGAAAATACCAAAAGTAACTTTAATTTTTAATTTGACTTTTCAAACTTCTGTTAAAAAATAAAGTATAATACAAATATTATAAGAAAATGTATAATCTAGTTACAGTAAAATTAAATATCATTTTATTGAATATTTGTTTCTGAGTTATCAATTCCAAATATTACAGAGTTTATGAAAAGATATCTATTTCAACTTTAGCAAACACTTATGGGATGGCTAGCATGTCCTAGACAGTGGGGGAGATCTCCTAATCGAACTTCTCCCTTATATATGTCAACGTTTCTCACTCTCTTTTGAGACTGGAATTAAGATTTCAAGAACCTTTTGATCAGATTTTTAAAAACTCATTTTTTGCAAATTATACTGAAAAACAATCCAGTGTTAATCTTGTTGTTGTGTATGGAATGTTATTTTTATGACACTTAAATAAGAATTTGTAATGTGTCTAATCAAACTTTTTTAAAAGTATGGTATAATAGGCACACAATTGAGCACCAGTGACATTTAGTACCTTCACCATGTTGTGCAACCATCACCAATAACTAGTTTTAGGACACATTCATCACAGTTCACTTAGGATAATCTTCAGCTCCATCTATGTTGCTAAAGGAAACTCATCAAGCAGTCACACTCATGCCTCCTTCCTCTCAGTCCCCGACTACAACCTATCTGCTTTCTGTCTATGAATTTGTCTATTTTGGATATTTCAATAAATGGAACCAAACAACACATTACCTTTTGTGCCGGCGTCTTTCACTTAGCAAAATGTGTTCAAGGCTCATCTGCATTGTAGCACATATCAGTTCATTTCTCTTTGTGGTTATTTCCATCATACAGTAGGTATAACCACAATTTATTTCATAAGTACTTGGGTTGTTTCCACTTTCTGGTTATTGTGACCAGTGCTGCGATGAATATTTGTGTGAAAGTTTTGTTAGAATACCTGGTTTCAGTTATTTTTCATTGACAGATGGGTAATGTGCCAATATCGTAACAAGGTTTGAGGGTGGCACATCTCACACATGTGCATGAAAACCCACTCATCACGCCTATGAACTACAAAAGGATCTTCAGTTCTTTTTGGTATGTTACCAGGACTGAAATTGCTGGACAATCTGAAAATTCTATTAACTTGAGGAACTGCCAAACTCTCTTCACAGTGGCTACACCATTTAACATTTCCACCAGCAATGAATGAAAGCTTAATTTCTCCACATCCTCTCCAACACTTCTAATATTATAGTCATTCCAGTGGGTGAGAAGTGGTATCTCACTGCAGTGTTGATTTGCATAGTGACTAATGATGTTGAGTATCTTTTCATGTGCCTGTTGGCTACCTTTGCATATCTTCACTGGAGAAATGTCTAATTAAGCCCTTTGCTCATTTTTAAATTGCGTTGTCTTTTTTTTTTTTAGCATAGGAGTTTCTTATATATTCTGGATACTCATTCCTTGCCACATATATGATTTGCAAATATTTTCTCCCATCATGTGGGCTGTCTTTTCACTTTCGTCATAGTGTCCTTTGATGTACTGAGATTTTATTATTTATTTTTTAGATTGGAAAATGTAGTTATTTTAGATTGGGAAATGGTTTATTTAGAGAGTAAATTAAAGAGAGAGGATAGGAGATTCACCTCTTCAAGGTAGGGGAGGGGGCCAAAGCTAAGAAAACATGGTGGTCATAGCTCAGAGTCACAAGGCCAGACCATAGCTTAGCAAGGCAATGGCTAGAAAATAAATTAGAGATAGTCACCTTGCCAAGGTAGGGGAGGGAGCCAAAGTCAGGAAACATGGTGACTACAGCTCAAGGAGCCACATGGCCAGACCATAGCTTAGCAAAGCAATGGCAATTTATTATTTTTATTTTAGATTGAGGGTAGACATGTGTGTTTGTTACATGGACATATTGTGAAGTGGTGGGATTGGGTGGCCCGTTCCCCAGTGAACATTGTGCCCCATAGTTTCTGAACCCCAACCTCCCTCTCCCCTCCCCCCTTATTGGTGTCCTGTCCCCAGTGTCTATTCTTCCCATGTTTATGACTGGAAACACATATGAGAACAAGAGATGTTTAGTTTTGTTTCTGAGACAGTTCACTTAGGATAATCTCCAGCTCCATCTATGTTGCTGCAAAGGACATGTTTATGGCTGCGCAGTAGTCCATGGTGCATATATACCACATTTTCATTATCTACTGATCAGCTGATGGGCATTTAGGTTGATTCCACATCTTTGCAAATGTAAATTGTGCTGCAATGAACATGAGGGTGCAGGTGTCCTTTTAATATAACAACCTTTGCTCTTTAGGGTCGATACCTAGTTGTGGTATTGCTGGATCAAATGGTAGACCTACTTTTAGTTCTCTGCGTAATCTTCACACCGCTTTCCACAGAGGTTGTACTAACTTACACTCCCACCACCAGTGTATGTGTGTTCCCCTTTCTCCACATCTGTGCCAGCATCTATTGTTTTTTGATTTTTTAATAATGGTCACTCTGACTGGTATCAGGTGGTATCTCTTTGTGGTTTTAATTTGCATTTCCCTGATGATGAGTGATGAGCATTTTTCATGTTTGTTGGTCATTTGGATATCTTCTTTTGAGAGATGTCTATTCATGTTGTTTGCTGACTTTTTAGTAGGGCTACTTGCTTTTTTCTTGATTTGAGTACTTCGTAGATTCTGGATATTAGTCCTTTGTCAGAAGTATAGTTAGCGAATATCTTCTCCCATTCTGTAGGTTGTCTAATTTGCTCTGTTATTTCTTTTGCTGTGTAGAGGCTTTTTATTTAAGTCTCACTTATTTTTGTTTTAGTTGCATTTGCTTTTGGGGTTTTACCTGTAAATTCTTTGCCTAGGGCAATGTCCAGAAGAGTTTTTCCTAGGTTTCTTCTAGGATTTTTATGGTTTCAGTTCTGAATTTAAGTCTTTAATTCATCTTGAGTTAATTTTTGTATATGGGGAGAGATAGGGATTAAGTTTCATTTTTCTGCATGTAGCTATCCAATTTTCCCAGCACCATTCATTGACTAGAGTGCCCAAAGCAGACAATGTTTTTGTCTGCTTTGTCAAAGGTCATTTAGTTGTAGGTATTTGGGTTAACTTCTGGATTATCTATTCGATACCAGAATTCGGTCTATGTGTCTATGTGTCTTGTATCAGTACCATGCTGCTTTGTCTACTACGGTCTTCTAGTATAATTTAAAGTCAGGTAATGTGATGCCTGAGGCTTTTAATTTTGATGACATCCTATTTGTCTTTTTGTTGTTTTTGTTGCTTATGCCAGGTCATAAAGATTTATGCCTATGTCTTCTTCTCAGAGTTTTATGGTCTTAGCTCTTGTATTTAAGTCTTTGGTCTATTTTGAATTAATCTTAATATATGTGGAAGTAAACGTCCAACTCCATTCTTTTGCATGTGAATATCCAGTAGTCTTAGCACTATTTGTTGAAGAGACTATTCTTTCTTTATTGAATCATCTTGGCACCCTTGAGGAAAATCTATTGACCATAGTATACTGACATGATTTATTTCTGGACTCTCTATTCTATTGGTCTATGTGTTTATTTTCATACCAGCATCATGCTGTTTTGATTAATGTAGCTTTGCAGTAAATATTGAAATAAAAGATGTGAGTCCTTCAATTTTATTCTTGTTCAAAATTGTTTTGGTCCTTTTGGGTAACTTACAATCCTATGTAAATTTTAGGATCAGCACTCCCATTTCTGCAAAAAGGCCACTGGGAATCTATAGACTAATTTTGGTAGTAATGCCATATTAACAACATTAAGTCTTCCAACCTGTGAACACAGGATGTCTTCCATTTATTTAGGTCTTCTTTAATTTCTTTCAGCAGTATTTTGTACTTTTCAGTGTACAAGTCTTGGAGCTTCTTAGTTACATTTATTCCTTAGCAGGCATGGTGGCTCACTCCTGTAATCACAACACTTTGGGAAGCCGAGATAGGAGGATCACTTGAGTCCAGGAGTTCAAGACTAGCTTAGGCAACATAGCAAAGACCTCATCTCTACAAAAAACAATCAAGATTAGCTGGGCATGGAGGTGCACAGCTGTAATTTCAGCTACATGGGAGGTTAAGTCAGAAGGAAACCTGAGCTCAGGAAATTAAAGCAGCAGCGAGCAGTGATCCATGACACCGCACTCCAACCTGGGCAGCAGAGTGAGATCCCAACTCAGAAAAAGCAACAAAAAAAATTATTCCTTAGTATTTTATTCTCTGTTGTTATTATAAATGAAATAGTTATTTCAATTTCCTTCTAAGATTTTTGTTAGTCTACAGAAGTACAACTGATTTTTGTGTTGATCTTGTAACATTGCTTAATTTTAAAAAATCAGTTATAATAGGATTTTTAAATATATATGATCATATTGTCTGCAAATAGAGACTATTTTACTTTTTTTCTTGCCTAACTCTGGTTAGAACTTCTAGTACAATTTGAGTAGCAGTAGGGAAAGCATGCATTTTCCTGACCTTAGGGGAAAATTTTCCAAGTTGCACCACTGAGTATGTCACTAGCTGTGGGTTTTCATGAATGCATTTTATCAGGTTAAGAAAGTTTACTTCTTTTCCTAGTATGATGAGTGTTTTATCATGAAAAGAAATTGGATTTTTGTGAAATGCTTTCTCTTATCAGTTGACATGATCATGCTGTTTTTTTCTCCTTCATTCTCTTAATTTGGTGTATTACATTGGTTGATGTTTATATGTAGGACTATCTCTGTATTTCTGTGATAAAGTTCACTTGGTCATGGTGTATAATTCTTTTAACATACTGCTGGATTTGGTCTGCTAATATTTTGAGTTTTTGCATCTATATTCATAAGGAATGTTGGTTTGCAGTTTTCTTTTCATGTCTTTGCATGACTTTGGTATTAAGGTAATACTGGTCTTATATAATGAATTATAGAGTGTTATCTTCTATTTCTGGGAAGACTTTTGAGAAAAATTGGTGTTGATTTTTTTCTTGTAGAGTTCATCAGTAAACCCACTGAGTCCTGGACTTTCTTTGTTGAGAAGTTTTTTGATTATTGACTCATTCTCTTTACTTGTTATAGATCTGTTCAGATTTTTAATATTTCTTCTTGAGTCAATTTTGTGTATTTCTAGGAATTTGTCCATTTCATCTAGGTTATTTAATTTGTTGGCAATAATACTTATTTTATATGAATAAATTTGTTTATAGTTTAGCTACACCAAATACCAAGCAATTCATTTAATATTTATAAAACTTGAAATGTCGTGTTTTATTGCATCTACTTTCTAAAGCAAAATGTATATAAAATTCCTTAAGAGATTTAAACAAAAATTTCCTTCAAATACTATGGAACTAAAATGTTCTGATTGGGTGTGACCAGTATACATTTTATTATAAAAGAACATAAACCCTTTTCATTTCTCTTTGTATTAAATCATTCCTCACACAAAATGAAACCACTCTCTTTTTCTACCTAGAGGCAGGAATGACAAGAGTGAAGGCTCCTAACTTAGCCAGGCTGCATCTGAATCCCTGCTTTGTCACTTATTTGCTATATATAATCCTAGGGTTAATGTCTCTGTGCCTGTTTCCTTAACTATAAAAAATGAGACTAGACCCTACCTCATAAGGTTGTTGTGAGGAGTAAGTGCACTGACGCATACAAAAAAATCTTGGTTCCTAGTTTACAATAAGCAATGAATAATTATTAGTAAATATTATTTTTCCATAGGTAATCATCAACTGGGGATAAAACAAGAGTATCTAGACATCCCAATGGATATGCTAATAGCAAAAGCCAAGGCAGCAATTTTGGATGGTGGATACAAACAACAGACATAGTTTTGTCTTGATTTATAAGACCCTGGACTAGGAGAGGAATAAAAATCTTGGCAAATGCCCTATCATGTGAAAAAAAAATCCAGGAGAGGTGTTATTGCCTACAAAACTGCATTTGAGAGGCCCTTTATCAGAATAGAAAATCTCATAAAAGAAAACAAATCCTTGGAGAGAGGAGCCAACTCCTTTACTTCAGCACGAGTGTGGTCTCCACCATGGACCACAGGGAAGCAGAGTGCATAATTAATAAACAGCTAAGTGTTCCAAGGAGATCACAGGTCTCAGTCTCCATAGGGAGGTAACATTGTATTGATGTTCCCACTTTGGAAATTTTTGTTTTCTTTTACCTTTTCCTCTCTTCCCCTAAATACATTCCACAGCTGATCTCTCCTTGTCAGGCAAATAACTGAATTCACATCCATTATATAATGAATATATGAAATACTTATGTATGACAAATCACTATCATCTATTATTTTCTTAGTAACATACCAGTAAAACGATGGCAGGATTTGTTTTGGATTCCCAAAACAAATGAAAGTGAGAAGTACTCACTTTCTTGGGTTCCAAGATAGAAACATTTCACGGGCATTCAAAATCAGTTCATTAAAAAAAGTTTTGTTTCAATTTCTAAAGAAAGTAACTAAAGGTTACTCTGATATAAAATATAATAACACATTAACTACAATACTGCATTTTAAAAGATGGGAATTCATACTAATCTTATATCAAGATATGAGTTAATTACTTGTATTTTGTAGAATTTATCAAAAATGTTACTGCCCAGTGCATTTTTGCAAACAACAATTCACTGAGAGTATTAACATTCACATACATACTTAAGAGTTTATAAATTTACAAAACTTTGAGTAACAAACACTTTAAACTTATTTTCCAAACATTCAATAAACCCATTTCCCCCAAAAACTTATTACAAAGAAGCACAATGGAATACAAACTATGGCAACACATAGAAACAAGGCAGGGGAGGAGATACAGACTTGAGAACATAATATCCAAATAGCTTTGTCAATATCAAAAGATAAAAGCAAAGTATCTTTTAGTTCAGAAAACAAATACATATGATTACATGCTAATCAGGTGAAAGAACATTATAGGGTACATAACATCTCCATACAAATTTTCATATCTTAAATTTAATGCAAAACACCATGTTTCAAGTTAAGAATATCATAGCATGTAGTTCTTGGTGGATCTAACTGTAATGGAATGAATATTCAAATAGATCCCAATGGTTATATCAAGTTTTTATTGGGTTATTACTATTTTAACTCTTTAAAATTTTTCTTTATTCATTGGACTAAGCCAATATTAGAAACAAAATCCACAACCAAAGTATACATATTGCAGCTGTCTCTGAAAAAAACTAAATAGTATATTCTTTAGTGTGTCATTAAAATAGTGGTTGTGGTTAAACAGAAAGTAAACAAACAAAAATTAGTGCAATTCATTTATAACAAACTTACAAATCAACATTTTAGAAGTTTTGTCTGGTGTGTTTGCACTGTAATAAAATGAATCTGGGGAACATGAGTAAAATGTGCTTGACTATGAACAAATGAAACCCCCATGAGCACCAGGTCATGTTTCTAGGCAGTGCATTTGTCCTCACATCTTACATCAGGGACATATGGTCACAACCACCAGCTGTAGCTTTAATTTACTAAGAAATGAAAGTACTTAATTCTGGTCCATCCACTCCTTCCTCCCTTGATTTAACATCCTCACTTTGAGATCAGGCACTTTGTGCCCAGGAATGTAGCATCACACATTAACTAAAAATGTATCTATTGATAGTAGAACAAGTGTACTAAATTAATAAAGGAAGGGGATATCTTCACTTAGAAAACAAAGCACTAAATTATAATTTTACAGTTACAACACAAGCCCCAGCTCTTCCTAGGCACAGTGGAGCAACCTAAAACAAAAACAAAAACAGAAATATTGGATTTGTAGGTAATATATTGACAATATTATGTCAGTTGGTGAAATACTGAAACAGTCTGTCTTGTTGGCAAAGGGCTGCTGCCCTGGTTTGCTCTGTAAGATTCCTCCTCATGTCAAAGTTTCAAAGACCAAATTGTTTTGGGTATATTATAATTATGTAGCATTCACCCTTCTTAGAGGTGATTTTTTAAAAAACAGCTCAAGAATTAGACTACATGAAACACTATGTTGGCCCAAATGATGCACAATATGTATATGAAGCAGTGCTGAACACTTACCTTTCTGACCAACATGGAGAAAATATCAAATGTCATCTAGAGAGATCCTCTAATAGTCATACTTTCTCAAAGACAGTACACAAAACACCCTGAAGGCCTAGGGATCTGCTGATTCCACTTACTGACTGCCTTCCACGTGCATGGCTGACGATACTAGATCTGTTCCACTGCTTTTTAGCAGAGAAAATAATTAATAGATAGTACCCATCCAACTCCCTAGGAATGGAAATACGTCCACTTCATGACCTCTTTGACAGTGAGATAGAAGTGTGGGGAGGGTTGTTGTGGAAGGGATGTGATCTTCGCTTGCGGATAGGAACAATTCTAAAATCTTTCACATATTGTCTTTTTTCTTTTAAAGGACTCTAGACACTGGGCAATTCATACGGAAATAAAAATGTGGCCAGAAATAGTTTTTGAAGAACTACTCTGAACCCAATAACAATGTATACATTTGACCCAAGAGAGTTAAAATGTTAGCATGGGGGGCAGTTACTAATACAAAGGACCAAGAAAGTCTGCTTCGTCCTTGTGCATGTTGGGGTATGTACTAAGATATTCCTGTCAAATCCACAATGCCAAAATGGCTTCCTAATTAGCTTGACTTCATCTCCTCCCCAATGAACAGATTTTTAAGAACAGAGCAGACTTTAATCTTAAGAGAATTCTCATTTGTTCTCCACCTGAATCAGTTGTTTTGATCACTGTGCATTTCCTTGAACAATCAAATAACGTATTCTAAAGTCATATCTATTTAAGTATTGTAGAAGTAACCTCAACATTATTTAAATCAAAATATCAGTTTGTAATTAGAAGCTTTTTTCAAATCATCCAAGACATTAAGTCTCTACATTGTGAATAGATGACATTGGCATGACAACCAGCTGGAGAGTGTAGCTTAGAGAATGTATGAAATACAATGCAGTCATTTCCTGCTTTGGGTCAAGGCTGGTAGTGAAAGGGGCAGTGGTGGCTTAAGACTCTGTGATCTCATTTCAGTACCTATGGAAATGTCCTCTTGTCCATTTTTCAGGTACCGTGTTTATAAGTTCACATTTTTAGGGCTTTAAAATAGTACCACAAGTGGCAATGAAAACAAAATAGCTATGTGATTATAGATTATTTTTGATACAGAGTGATTCAGCATAAGTATTAATGATCTATAAGTTTCAAATACTGGTTAACAGAGTTTCTTATAACTGGTCTTCAGGCTTAAATCAAATACATCTCAGAAAAAAAATTTCTCCCCTCCCTTTTTGGGTTCCTTGGTTGTCATTCACAACTACTTTTGCCATAGCGGGAAGTTGATACTAGGTAATCATGTAACTTCTGGTGAAATCCCACAGCTGTAACACAATCCCTCAATCTTATCCTTTCTTCCCTCCACTACATGATCTCGCTTGCTTAAGGAATAAGGTCAAAGTCACACACTCTAAGCCCTTTTTTCCTATTCTTCTCTCCACTTAAAACCTCCCTAACCTGTCTATACTCACATTCTCATCTTTTCCTCAAGTCTTGAAGGAGATCTTTCTTTCTGTCTGTGGATGACCAGTCTTTGCTCTTAATTCTATATCCTATCCTTTTCTCAGGAAGGTCCTTCAGTTTGCTTTTTCTTTCTAGCATTGGGAATCTCTCTACCCTCTCGCTGTCACCTCTATTGTGAAAAAAACCTCTGGTTCAAATTCTAACTCCACCATTTATATTTGCTGTGTGGTCTTGGGTTAGTTATTTAACCTCTTCATGTCTCAGATTCTTCATCTTGTGCCATGGGGGAAATAACAGTACTTACTCTACAGAGTGACTGGGAAGATTAAATACATTTGTTAGTGTAAAGTGCTTAGAATAGAGTCTGGAACATAAGATGTGCCCGACCAATGTTAACTTTCTCTCCTCATCACTTAAAAACTGCATGCTACTCTAGCTCCCATGCTTTATTCTTTTATCTTTTTTATTTTTATTTTTTGTAGCGATGAGGTTTTGCTATGTTGGCCAGGCTGGTCTCAAACTCCTAGCCTCAAAGGACCCTTTGCCCCAGCCTCCCAGAGTGCTGGGGTTACAGGTGTGTACCACCGGGCCTGGTATCTTCTCTTTACCTTTTAAATTGTATGCTGGTCTCTGCTTCTATCATATTCTCAGAGGGATCGATGACACTATGAATGACAAATCATCTTTGTTCTTCCTTATAATGTTGAAGTTCCCGCTTCTCTCTAATTCTTTCTTTGCTATTTTCTCCAGAAGCCATACCTCCCAATCCAACCCAATAAGCATGCATATATAAAGAAAGGTCACTTTGGGAGGTTGAAATGGGAGGATTGCTTAAGACCAGGAGTTTGAGACCAGCCTGGGCAACATAGTGAAACACTACGTTTACAAAATCATCTGGGTGCAGTGGCACATGCCTGTGGCAGGATCAGTTGAGCCCAGAAGGTTGAGGCCACAGTGAGCTATGATAGTGTCACTGTACTCCAGCATGAGCATCAGTGTAAGACCTTGTCTTAAAAATAAATAAAAAAATAAGAAATAAAAGGGAGAAAGATTGACAGGCATTAGAATTATCTCTCGAATTCATCTATACTTAATACTTCTAGCCTTGGAGCTGGAGCAATCTCCTAAATGTTTTCCTTTTATTCAGATTTCACTTCCCTGCCCCTAACCCAACTTACCCCGATCCCAACTGCATCACTCTCTTAGTTGAAAGTCTCTGGTGGCTTCTCATTACCAAACTCTTTAGCTTGGCCTTCAGAGATCTCCCTTCTGACCCCGCCCCCCCCACCTTCCTGTCCAACAAAAACTACTCTTCTCAAGCCTGGCTCCTACAGCCAGTCTTACTTGTGCAAGATGGCTTGCATTTCTGCTTCAGTAACATTTCTTTCACATTTTCTCACACAATTCCTTCTTTCTTTCCAGACTATTTGAATTGGATCACTTTATTAAGGCTTACCTTAAACCTACTTCTTTCTCACTGAAGTCCTCCCACAACTGCTTTTTCTCTTTGATTTGCTACACTACTCACTGCCTATACCATGGGACACTGATTACCAACTGCCCTGTCTCGTAGCTTCTCCTCTCACACACGTGGATCTTACCCACCCAAGAAGTTAAGTTCTGTGACAGTGCTGCTTCTCGTAAGCTTTGTTTTCTGGACAATACTTAACCACTGCTCTTAGTATGTAAGAAAACCTCGGGTCAGTTAAACATTTATTGAGTGTCTTTTATGTAACAATTCCTGAACTGAATGTTTTAAGTACAAAATTTCAGATTCTGTTCTTGGTGATGATGGAAGCAAAGATCTCAAAAAGTAATTCTTAGAAGGACTAGGCCCTCCCATAAGTAGACATGGCTGGAGTTCTTTCTGTTAATAAGCTTGCCAGGTCAAGTTTCTTACTTGTTAATCAATTTAGGGTTGCCATCTTGATATTATGATCAGAAATTTAATCTGCTCTCAAACATCAGTGGCTTGAGTATTTAAACAGTACTGCTCACATATGGACAAGTTATTCATATTCTTCTGACTACTCTCCTTGTTTCTGTTTTCTACAATCTCCCCTCCCTTCCCTATGTCACTCCTGTGGTCTTGTCAGCTCTAAGCATGCTAGAACATTTCATCAAGCAAATGGTAGCAGATCAATAAAATAATTTCTGAGTATTAATTTACACTTTAAAGGCTATTTTATTTTTTTATTTTTTTTTTATTTTTGAGTTGGAGTCTCACTCTGTTGCCCAGACTGGAGTGCAGTGGCTGCGCTTGGCCACCGCAGCCTCGACCTGCTGGGCTCTGGCGATCCTTCTGCCTCAGCCTTCCAAGTAGCTGGAACTACAGGCGCGCAATACCACACTTGGCTAATTTTTGATTTATTGTAGAGATGAAATCTCGCCAAGTTGCCCGGACAGGTCTCGAACCCACGAGTTCAGGCAATCCACTCACCTCAGTCTCCCAAGGCGTGGGATTACAGGCTGAGCCACCAAGCCTGGCTTTTAAAGGCAATTTTAGATTTTTCATCATTTTGTAAAATTAAACATTGCTTCTTGTTTTTCTCACATTTAATCAAGAGGTGACTTTATCATATTTATGCTATATATTTCAGAACTGGACAAGATTGAGAGGATCTGTTTTACTAAAAGATTTTAATAAAAACAGAGTTGGTGTAATAACGAAAAATGAAATGTCATACCTGGGTCCACTCATTTGTCTGGGGATCATAAGCCTCCACTGTATTAAGGTACATCTGTCCATCATACCCCCCAACAGCATATAATTTATCGCCAAGTAAACAGACCCCCACTGCATCTCTGCTGATGCTCATAGATGCTACTGCAGTCCACATGTCTGTTTTGGGATCATACCTGAAAGAAAATTTTAGAACCAAAGCTGACTTCATTCTCAAAATACTTTATGTAAAAACAGTGTTGAGTTTCAAGTCTCTTTTCTGTTCTTTTTTGAGTTGGAGTCTCACTCTGTTGCCCAGACTGGAGTGCAGTGGCTGCTCCCAGTCACTGCAGCCTCGACCTGCTGGGCTCCAGCAATCCTTCCGCCTCAGCCTTCCGAGTAGCTGGAACTACAGGTGTGTGCTACCACGCCTGGCTGATTTTTGATTTATTGTAGAGATGAGATCTCGCCAAGTTGCCCAGGCGGGTCTCGAACCCATGGGCTCAGGCAATCCACTCACCTCAGCCTCCCAAAGTGCAGAATTACAGGCTGAGCCACCGAGCCCGGCTGAAAACTTTTAACATATAGTATTGTAGATTCATTTAGCAGATGTACAACACTTAAGGGGAGCAAATGTAAATACTGAAAACTGCTTTCAGGCTTTAGATTGCTTACTGAAAATTTGGGGAATCAATGCATTAAGCTCCATATGAGATGATTTACAGCCTCAGTCATTGTAGCTGTCCATTTTTGGGCCTTCTTGTTCCTTTCATGAGGTGAAACTAGGATTGCCCAACATTGTCTAAGAGCAGATACATCATGCTAAGACCACCTGTGTTGCTTCTAAACCTCTTGCATTAATGAACAGTTTTTCATTGGGTACAGTAGTACAGTGAGCTCATAGTTTATGGAGCAAAATGTATAAGGACTTCCATATTCCTTTCCTAGATTATGACATGTAACAAGCACAGTCTGAATTGTTTTCTCCCTAGTACTAGTGAAATACAGGTGTAACATTCCTGCTTTCTCAAAAAACAAAAACCAAGTCTGCTTATCATTACACAGAAAGTGCTAGTTGTGGTTTGTAGTACTACCTGAATTTGTTCCTACCAAAACTCATGCTGAAATTTAATTGGCAATGGAACAATGTTTGGGATGTGTTTAGGAGTAACAATGTTTGAGGGGTAGTTAGGTCAATAAGATGGATTAATATCTTTCTTGAGAGAGTGGGTTAGTTCTTGCAGAAATGAATTTGTTCCTACAAGAATGGTTTTTATAAAGTGAAGTTGCTTTGTGTTTTTGCATACCCACTTTCCCTTCTGATTCTGACATGTTACGATGCAGCATGAGGCCCCCATCAGAAGCTGCCAGATGTGGTCTCCCAGTCTTGAACTTCAAGTCTGAAGAACCATAAGCCAAATAAATCTCTTTTCTTTATAAATTACTCAGTACCAGGTATTCTAGTATAGTATCAGGAAATGGAGTTAAGACAGCACTCATTATCATCAACAAACCTCAGTTTTACTTTTTATCCTTCTTCTAGTCATTTACAACTTATTAATCATACTAACCTTTAACAAAATCTGATTATCAGTTCAACTCTCTCTCTCTCTCTCTCATTCTCACTCTCTCTCACCCCACACATGGGCACTCATTAGCTTCCTATTCCTCTTTATAATCCAAAATCCTTAACAATGCCTCAACTCTACATGATCTGCTCCTGCCCCACCTCACTCTACCTCCTTCCTTGCCACTCTCTCCACCACTCTGTTCTCCAGCCGCCTTTTAGTTTCCTGTACGAACTGTGTTCCTTTCTGCTTTGGCGTGTTCAGACAAGCTCCAATTGATTGTTCCTCCTAAATCCATTCAGTTCTCTCTATTCCTTGAACTAGACTGAACATACCAGATGGGAATCTCACCTATCATCTGAATCTTCCACTGCTATTAGGTTCTCTACCTGGCCCCACACTTGAGCTTCATGAGGCCATTTCAGATGGCTTTTTAAAGCTTACAGACCTTATAATTGGCCTTCTATTTTATTATTTTATGTTATTTCATTTTACATCAAAGTGTGTCAGAAGTGTCTTTATCCTTTTCATTCCTTATTTAGCCTATAGCTACTGAGTCATTCTGTCTGAAATTCATCAAGCTCCTTTTCTCTTATTAGGTGCAGTGTCCAGCATAAAATAGGTGCACAATAAATGGTTGCCATGATTCAATTAATAAATTATGCAATCAATTATAAGGTAAAGCTTAAGTAAGTAGGCAGTAATATGAGAGAACCAACCCAGTGTTTACAGAGTTTCTAGGAAACTGTCTAGTATGTGGTGAAAGCTCAGTAAGGAGATGTTTGCCTGGAAGTATCGGAGACCTAGCTATTTCTTTTGTTCCTAGTTTTCCTTCACAGGAAATTACCTCTCCACACAGTCTGAGAGTCTAGAAGTCAAGTTGGACGCGGGAGCATCGTGCCCCCCGATAGCATACAGCAATCCATTCCAGGTTGTTACTCCTACACCACCTCTCCTTTTTGACATCTGTGCACAGAGTGTCCATTTATTTGTATGAGGATCAAAACATTCTACTGACTTGAGACAAGAACTTCCATCACGACCACCAACCGCATAAAGTCTGTAAAAAACGCAGATGAAATAATGAATAAGAAATTCTGCTATTATTACAGCTAGGACAACGAGGCTATTCTTACTGTATTTTCACTAAATTTAAGGTGCCATCAACAATAAGACACACTCATTTATGTGCTATTAAGAAAGAAGTTATGCTATGAATTAAATATGTCATATATCACTATATGTACACATGAAAAGCAAAACATAAATTACACATAAAGGCAATGACAACTATTTCACAGCTGTCATCTACTTGATGAGTCACCACTGATTTTAAGATGCACTACAATTTTAGAAGGTTATGTGTGTCTTAAAATAGATCAAATATGGTATACAAATACAAACTATGCCTTATTTTTATTTTTTTCATTGGAGTCTCACTCTGTTACCCAGGCTGGAGTGCAGCGGCATGATCACGATGATCATGGCTCACAACCATGTCTTATTTTTTTAAATAGCTAAGATAGGACTTGGTTATAAAGAAAACTGACTTTCTCTGGTTACCTACCATAGCTAAGTACTTTACAAGTATTAACTTAATTGTCACAATGATACTATTAGAAACCACTATTATCCCTGTTTCACAGCTGAAGAAACAGGGGTTTACTGGGCTTAAGTAAGATGCAGAATCAGGATACATAGTTATATTAATGAGCAGTTGTACAGCCAGCACTCACTGGAATGTACTTGTAATAGTGATATAGGAGAATAAAAGTAAGCTTGAACAATAGCATATAAATATTTATTTATTATGCATGTACAATGATCCTTCACTAATTTTAATTACTGCAGAAAATATAAGTTATCTAAAATAAATATGGCATGTGAATGTTACCTAGAACATACATTTAAATTCATTATCAATCAATATATGGTACTAATTTGAAATTATCTTTTATTCTGAATCTAAAATACTTGTAAAATATCTTAAATATTTGAACATAGTGCTTTTTATTAAGCAAAAAAATCTTGTATTTACTATTTATTTGGGAAGCTCTGTGTGTGTGTGTGTGTGTGTGTGTGTGTGTATTTTTTTGGGGGGGGGTCAGAGTCTCACTCTGTCGCCCTGGCTGGAGTGCAGTGGCATGCTCACGGCTACCCCACGGCTGGGCTCTGCGATGCTTCTGCCTCAGCCTTCAAAGTAGCCGGAACTACAGGCGCGTACTACCATACCCGGCTAATTTTTATTTATTTATTGTAGAGGCGAGGTCTCACCAAGTTGCCCAGGCTGGTCTGAAACCTGTGGGTTCAGACAATCCACTCGCCTTGGCTTCCCAAAGTGCTGGGATCACAGGCTGAGCCACTGAGCCTGGCCAGACATTTTTCTATTAGGTTTTTTTTTTTTGAGTTGGACTCTCACTCTGTCACCCAGACTGGAGTGCAGTGGCCGCTCCCGGCCACCGCAGCATCCACCTGCTGGGCTCCAGCGATCCTTCTGCCTCAGCCTTCCAAGTAGCTGGAACTACAGGTGCACGCTACCATGCCCGGCTAATTTGTTTTTGATTTATTGTAGAGATGAGGGCTTGCCAAGTTGCCCAGGCAGGTCTTGAACTTGCGGGCTCAGGCAATCCACTCACCTCAGCCTCCCAAAGCACGGGATTACAGGCTGAGCCACCGAGCCTGGCCTTTTAGTTTTTTAAAAGAGTAAATTGCTGCTTGTCTAAAAGACTACACATTTCGAATTTAGATGCCTTAGTTTATATTTAACTATTTAAAAAATTATTTATTAAGAAATAATATTTGAACTATACCAAATTTCTATCCATTGAAACTCTAAGTATTTTTGGGTAAATCTGCATATTTTAAAGACAGATTTCATAATGAAACTATGTCACCCAAACTGGTTCTTAAATAATAAGATAACCATAACCATAACCTGGACAGCAACATATGGTTATAGCAATATCTTCTACACTTAAACTATATTAATAGTATGGAAATTGAAATTTATTTGAAACTTTATCTGTTAAAAATATTCTCTAGGCTGGGTGTGATGGCTCAGGCCTGCAATCCCAGCACATTGGGAGGCCAAGGTGAAAGAATTGCTGGAGCCCAGGAGATCAAGACTAGTCTGGACAACATAGCAAGACCTTGTCGCTACAAAAAATAAGAAAATTAGCTGGGTTTGGTGGTGTGCGCCTGCAGTCCCAGTTACTTGGAAGGCTGATGTGCAAGGATTGCCTGAGCCCAGTAGGATGTAGTGAGCTGTGACTGTGCCATGCACTCCAGTGTGGGAAATAAGGTGAGATCCTGACTCAAAAAGTTGTTTTTAATCTGTTAAAAATTTGTATTTGTTAGTAACTTATTTGTGTTTCTGTACTTAAATATTAATCTATTCTTATCTTCAATACTTGGTAGAATAATTATGTGCATATGGATCACAGAATACTAGAAGGCTTCAATAGGAAATATCATTAAAAATAATTCATACATGCGTGTGTGTGTATACACACACCACACACACACTACAATAAGGCATCTTACCCTCCTAATAGTGGATTCACTGGTCGTCACTGAAAAATGGTGTAGTACAGTGATTAAGAGCATGAACTCTGGTGTCAGACTCTCTGGGTTTGAATCCTGGCTCCACCACTTGTACATACTATGACTATGTACAAGTTATTTAACCTCTATCTGAACATTCTGTCTATAAGTCCTAATTAATAGGATTATTAATACTTAAATTTAAAGTACTTGGAACAGTGCCTAGCACATGGTAAGTACGCATGGTTTAAGCATGTATGAAGAAAAATCAATTCTGTTTCTATTTGTGTTCTTTTAGAAAATAGCAATTTTAGGAAATTTTAAGTGTACAGACAATGTTTATACTGAGCTACTATGAAGAGTTAAAGTGTACTGGTAATTCTTCCTAAAGAATCATTATCTTAAGCAATGATTTTCAAACTCTGTTCTAAGAATAGGTTTCTGTGGAGAAATTGAGGGGGATCCAAAAACAATAGATCATTTGAAATTCAAATTTTTAAAAGTAACAGGCTGGGCTCGGTGGCTCAGCCTGTAATCCCAGTGCTTTGGGAGGCTGAGGTGAGTGGATTGCCTGAGCTCGCGGGTTCGAGACCTGCCTGGGAACTTGGTGTCTCCTCATCTCTACAATAAATCAAAAATTTAGCTGGGCATGGTAGCGCGCACCTGTAGTCCCAGCTACTCGGAAGGCTGAGGTGGGATTGCCGGAGCCCAGCAGGCGAGGCTGCGGTGACCGGGAGCGGACACTGCACTCCAGTCTGAGCGACAGAGTAAGACTCCAACTCAAAAAAAAATAAAAATAAAAAACAAAAAAAGTATTTATAATTTTCAAAAATACCACCTGGCCCAACTAAATGCCATGCAAGACACAGAACTCATGTCTCTTCCTCATGACAGTATCTATTACAATAAAGAAAAATATTATGTCAACTTATGAGAGTATTATACCACCTGTATATATTTCAAAATAAGATTTAGGTCTTGCCTGACTTCTAAAATTAAGATCATGAATGCAAGTTGTTGGTAGATATTGTTTGAGATTCAACTTAGAAATTTTGTTTTGTTTTGAGTTGGAACTTTACTCTGTCGCCCAAGCTGGAGTACGGTGGCACACACATGGCCACCCCAGTATTGACCTGCTGGGCTCAGGTGATCCTTCAACCTCAGCTTTCCAAGTAGCTGGAACTACAGGTGCACACTATCACGCCCGGCTAATTTTTTTGATTTACCGTAGAGATGAGGTCTTGCCAAGTTGCCTGGGCTGGTCTGGAACCTGTGGGCTTAGGCAATCCACTCGCCTTGGCTTCCTAACACTACTGGGATTATAGGCCACCACACCCGGTCAGAAAAAAATTTTTGTACTACTTTTAAACTATTTGGTCAATTGAATTAAAGAATTTCCTGAGATTCCAATTAAACTGCTCTAATAGTTAAAATAACTGCTAGTGTTTCAGCCTTTTATCTGTGAGTAAAGATTTTCTTCATAATGGACAATCAAAACAAAACAGAAATAAGTTGGGTGTTCTTTTAAACAGATTTCTTCGTCATTGATTTTTATAAGTAAATATTATAAACTTGAATCTATAAATGTGGCTTAAGGGTAGCCTGAACAATTCATAGTTAAATAAAGTATCTTTCTGTCAAACATGGTCCAAACATTTTTTTTTAACAGTGCAGTGATTGTTCCACAGCACTCTAGCCTGCCAGAGTGAGACCCTGAATAAAAAAAATAAAAAAAAAAAATGGAAAGATATGTAGTGATGAATTTTACAGTTATTTCTTTAGCTAAAACAAGTGAAGGACGGGGCATAGAGATCAGATATATCTAAAAAACTACTTCCATTTATCTATGTTACTATTTGTAATAGTGCTAAAAAGATAGCAAAAAGCAAAACATAACTAATAGGTCCCGAGGAAATAAAATCTTAGGTCAAAAAATAAATATTTCACTAATATTTTGCCATTTTCTTATAATAATCAATAACACAATTCTATAAATAATTTAAGTCTCTAACTTTGATTACTTCCTCTTTCTGGAATGATAAATAAAGCATTCTAAGTAAGCCAAAGGTATCCAGAAAACAGCTTTTCTTTAACAACCATAGAATGCTACATTTTATGGAAGAAGGAAGGGCTAAAAAGATATCTATTTCATCTCTAAGTAAGAGATACTGGTGACACCTCTACCTAAACCTGTCTATTCCAAGACGAGAAGCAAGATAGCACCTCTTTTTAAATCCATTCTAGTTTTCACCAGTTGGTCAGGATATGATGAGAAGGAAAAGTAAAGATAAATCAGTAGAAAAGATGGAAGGAATTTTTAGGGAAACATTGAGACTACACTACTTTTAAAGGACCATCTGCTTTTAAAGGTAAATAAGCCAACAGTTTTTCACCATACAACTTATTAATACTGAATATTTATATAACATTTCTTTATTCAAAATAACTAGAAATGTATAGTATCTGCATATTAGAATGAAATCCTAATGAAATGTATAGTATTTGCATATTAGAATGAAATCCTAATTTAATGTTGAGTTATTTATACTTAGAACTATTATAAAAAGAGACATTATTTTAAAAGTTTCTGCGAATCACTCAAAGTACTTCTCTATGTATAGCTCAAGTTAGAAATGATAGAGCTTAACAAGTCTGGTATACTGCATTTGAAACGAAACTTTACATATTTCCTTACTTTCCACTCAGTACTGCCACACCTACTGTGCTCCTGGGGGTGGACATAGTGGCAACAAAATTCCATTGGCGAGCCTGAGGGTCCCACCTTTCCACTGTATTCAGATAGCTCCAGCCATCATGCCCTCCTACAGCATACATGGGACCTTCCAGCACAGCCACACCTATAAGGGGACAGGAAAAAAGAAAGGTCTTATGAGTTGCTGCTAATCTTAAAAATAAAAAATAAAAAAATCACATTTTAATTGAAATATCAGTACAATAAACCTTAAACATACAAATTGAACCAAGCAAAAATTTTTGAAATAGATATTTGGCTTCCTCATTGCTCTTCTTAGCAGGTGGGTGGGTGGAAATAGCACTGTAGTTCTGGTCTTAAAAGTTTTAGATGCAGTATTTTGAGATACAACAGTGGAAAGTTATTTTAAAACTATGCCAGATGCATACATTGCTGCTATTTAAAGCATTTTTCAATAATTTGAAAATATGATATATTTTAAAAAGCATTTTTATTTTTCTCCTCCTATTAATTCAAATTCATGAGATTTTACTACAGTTAGATTTGATACCACAATCTATTGGTATGATTTATCACCAGGGAGTCAAACCAGATTCATTTGTTAATTTAGTCAATAAATATCTATCGAGTATCTACTAAGTGCCAGGCACTCAAAACATAACAGATAAAGGCTGTGACCTCATAGACCTTATAGTTTAGTTAGGAAACAGACACAAAATATATTTCAGAAATTGAAAAGTGCTAATGAAAAAGAACAGAGAGGAGTACAAGGGTAGAGAGGGTCGGGGAGAGTGTTCTGATAAGGTGACATTTAAGCAGGAACGTGAATGAAGTTGGAAAACTAGGTATAAAGACACCTGGGGGAAGAGAAGGTGAGGAAGAGGGACTAGTATGTACAAAGGTCCTGAGGTAGGCTTAGTGTCTGAAATTCAGCAAAGTGGCCAGTTTGGCTGAGCAGAGTTAGTTGGGGGAGAGTGCAGGAAATGAGGGAGAGTATGGACCCAGATCATGCTGGGCATGATAGTCAGAGAGATAAGAACTCTGAACTTCTCTCTTCTGTAGACTATTCTGAATGAGATGGAAGACCATCTTCATGATGGCTCTGAGATGGTTTTGAGGTAGAGGGTTTTGAGAGGAAGCATGACATGATCATGGACAGGTGAAATAGAAACATGTGCCACTTGAGGGCCAAAAACATCCCTGTAAGACAAATACATACATTTTATGAGATCATGGCCACATAAGATGAAAACATTCATCACTTATGCATGAACCAAACCAACATATTATTCTGCTCATCTGTTATATATGTGCCTTGCAAATGAATATTTTCCTGGATATTTTATATACACACACATATATACACACATTTATATGTGTACAACACATATAGTTATATAAGTATACACTATATGTATATTTATATATGATATGTATATTTCTATAATGGTATATATGCATATTTATATGTGTATATTTTATAGATGTTACATATGTTATATGTAGTATATTTAAATAACATAAAATGTGCATATGCATGTAAATATGATATATACACATACTATATCCATATTTATGATATATGCATGTATCTCCAATTTTATATATGTGTAATATGTAACTATTCAAAGGACTAGAAGAAAACTTAAAGAATTTATCTAGTCAAACCCCTTAAACAATGGCTTTGAAAAATAATGTTAGCAGAACTTCTTTTTCAAATGAAATCTTCATATAATTCCCACATATGAAGAGACAAAAGGAGTGTTTCTTAAATAAAGGTTTATTTTATAAGTTCAAATTAATAATATTCATCTACTATAAGGTAAATTAGAAAAAACAATGCTGTTCTGAATGACACAAAAAATTTTAAATGAGGGCTTAACCAAGACAGTTTCAGCTATATGATCATACTCTTTTCAACTTGCTGCAGTTCAACAGTCTTTTGTATGGCACCTGCAACTAATACTATTCAATGCACGATGTAATGTGCACAAAACACAGAGGGATCATCAGCAATCATATTCCACATACCATATCTAAAAGGCTTTATCCTTAGTTAGAAATGTGTTTCTTTTCCCATGGTTGGGGAGGGGGAAACATGTACTGATCCTGGATTTTACGGTCAACCCAAATTTATAAGTCTCATTTGTGCTTAAGATATAGCTTCCCATCTATGCCAATATAATAGCTGATTTTAAGGGCTCATGAGTAATGTTTTATAGTTTGTTTTGTTGAATTTCATGTAGTTAATTTTAAGCTCCTTCTCTCGGTACCTTAGCCCTAATCCTATGGTTTCATTTTCTTACAGACTTGAAACTTAGTTCACTGAGAACTAATTACGATGAGCAGAATTCCATGCCTCTTGTACCTTTTATTGTACCCACCACTATTTACATCCCAGTCATCATCCCTAGAGAGTTTTTGTTGCTGGCTATTGGTTTTTTTGGGCAGTCTTGATTCTGCTCAGTATTAATAAATTCAGTATCATACATACCATGCTGTCTAAACTCAACTATACCTTCACTGCTACTCATCCATCTTTTATGATAACCTATCAAATTCTTTATTGCAACTACTTTAAACCTTTTCTAAACTGTGATAAGTTGACAATATGGCCACAAATTCCTTCTCCAAATTCACATCTTTTGCAATATGACTCTGTAGCTCCTCCCATCAGGGGGTGGAGTCTATTTCCCATTCTTTGATTCTAGGCTTGCCCAAGACTTGTTTTGGTCAGTGGGACATTAGCAAACATAATGGAAGCAGAAGCTTGGAAAGTGTGGTTGGGGCTTGTCTTCTCTTACTGCTTTTGAAACTCTGACTGGCCACGTCACAGAAGAAAGTCTGGGCCAGCCTGCTGAATGGAGGCATGTGATCTAGTTGACTCTGTTACCCAGGCTGACAATCTGCCTACCACTCGACATCCGAGATTATCCTGCCAATCTGTCAGCCCACCATATTCATGAAAACCCAGCAGAGATCATCTAAAGCAGCCAAGATCACTCAGAACCACTCAGTTGACCCACAGATCCGTGAGTTAAATAAATGGTTGTTGTTTTAAGCTTCTACATTTGGAGGGGTTTGTTATATAGCTGGATGATACAAGCACATATTCAAGATCCATCTAATTTTATTTCCACCTCCTTCACTCTCATCAAACAATTCTTTCTACTGTTTCACTGAGAAAAGAGAAGGCCCTACATTCTCATCTATGCATCTTAGAATGAGCCTTCAGTTCCTTAAGGTAAAGAGAGTGTCTTACTAATCTTTGTACATATACAGAAGGAAAAGCATGGACATAGTATGTGGTAATCAATGTCTGCTAAGTTAGTTATTAAATGAAAGGATAAGAAGTTTCTATTGTTATACTCCCTGTGCCACCTCAAAATTTTTCTGGATTTTTTACTCATCTCTGCTTAAATTAGGGAATATAAATGAAAAACAATAATGCTTAAGATTTTAAAATAAGAATTTCAATTAAGTTACATAACACTAATTGTCAGCACATGTAAAAAGGTGACACGTCAGACCATCACGCTATACTAAAAATCCTTAGACATCCATGCTTTCCCTGTACTGGTTGCTGCCACATTTATGGTTTCTCTGCTTGCGCCTCTCAGATAACAGGGATATGTGAGGAATGCTTGGAGACTGCCTGGTGCTGAGTCAGTAGCTGCTGCCCTGGTCTTCTGCCTGGTACAGAATGTAAAAATGCTTTGGCCATGTACTATATGATATGTGAGTGACTCTGCATAGTTATACTTACCAAGGCCATGCCTATGTGTGGACATGGGTGGCATCACACTCCAAGTTTTTGTTTTGGGGTTGTAGCACTCTACAGTATTCAAAGTCTTCAGTCCATCTCTTCCTCCAACCACATACAGTTTGTCATCTAACACTGCAACGCCGAACTGCAGCCTCCTTCCGTTCATATTTGCTACAGGAGTCCACATATTTGTACGGAGATCATACTTCTCAATGCTTGTTGCTCCTTAATGGTAATATGTACAAGTTATGTAAATAAAAATTCCACCATAACTGTTTTATGAAATTATACATAAAAAGGGATAATTTTATTAGCATTGACAACAATACTTTTATTATTTCCATGAAGTTCCTGGATGATAAAGCCCCCGCCTACATCTCTGACCTTAACTCCTACTACTCTTCAGGGCATATACCAGGCCCCAGTATGAAAGGTCAAGTGGACAAGAATTATCTGTCAAAAGGAGGCTGAGAAACAACACCCACAGGCGGGAGGAAAAGCAGGAGGGGTTAGTGTCATAGAAGCCAAAGAAAAAAGTTCACAGCAGGTAAGTCTGTTAACAGTATCAAATGCTACAGAGAGGATCAAGTAAGATGAAGACTAAAAAGTATCATTGGATGTAGCTACATGAAGGTCACTGATGACTTCAGGGAGAAGTTCATTATTTGAGTGGCTGAGACGTGATCAGGAGGTAAGGAAAGGGAGACAGTGAACATAGAGGATTCTTCTGAGAAGTCTGGCTATAAAAGTAAGGTGAGAGACAGAAATTATTAGGTGGTTTGCGTGAGGTTTTGTTTTGCTTGGGAAACCCTGAGTTTGCTCAAATGCTTGTGGGAAGGATCTAGTTGGGAGGAAAGAAGCTGAAAATATAGGAGATATAGAAAATATAGGGATCATAATTAAGAGTCTGAGCTTCTTGGGGAGTCAGGAAAGCACAGTATCCGGAGAGCTGGCTCTCCTAGAGGAGGCGGTACACACTCAATTGCAATAAGGAAGGACAAAGGGATACACACAGATCATATGCTTTGGGAACTATGAGTGTGAGAAACTTAATGTGCTACCTGATGGTGTCTACTTTTTCTTTTGAAGAATTAGATGACTCTAGAGACTCTAGAACTCTTGTGTTCTCTTTATGAGATGAGACTAGTAGAGGTTAAAAAAAAAGGCACCAAAAAAAAAAAAAAAAGAAAGAAATACCTTGGCATCTTTCTAACCAGGAATGTGAAAGACCTTTAAAACGAAAACTACAAAACACTAATGAAAGAAATCAAAGATGACACAAACAAATGGAAAAATATTCCATGAACATGGATTGGAAGAATCATGTTAAGCTGTTCATCCTACCCAAGGCAATCTGCAGATTTAACACATAGCAGCAGCATTCTTCTCAGACTTGGAAACGACAATACAGGAATTCATACGGAAACATAAATGACCACGAATAGACAAAATAATCCTCAGGAACAAAACAAAACAAAAACAAAGCAGGAGGTATCACATTCCCAGATTTTAACTTTATTATAAAGCTAAAATAATCAAAACAGCCTGGTATTGGTACAAGAACAGGTTTATAGACCAATGGAACAGGACAGAGATTCCAGAAGCAAAACTCAACTTTTCAACCAACTCATCTTCGACAAAGCCTCCACTAACAACCACTGGGGAAGGGAGAACTTATTCAGGGAATGGTGCTGGGAAAACTGGCTGACCACATGCAGAAGATTAAAACAAGACCCCTACCTATCACCATACACAAAAATCAACTCTAAATGGATCAAAGACCTAAATGTAAAACCTCAAACTATAAGAACCTTAGAAAATGTAGGAGACACCCTTATGGAATTTGAAAGTGACAACTAATTTCTGATGAAAACCCCAAGTGCCCATGCCATAAGAGGTAAGATAGACAAATGGGACCTCATCAAACTGACAAGCTTCTGCAAAGTCAGAGAAACCATCAAGAGAGCAGGGAGACCGCACAGACTGGGAAAAATATTTGCCAACTGTATGTCTTACAAATGCCTAACATCTAGGATCTACAAGGAACTCAAATGTGCCGAAAAGAAAAAAACAAATAGCCCTACCATAAAGTGGGCAAAAGATATGAATAGATACTTCTGAAAAGAAGACATATGAGCAGCCAACAGATACATGAAAAAATGCTCAGCCTCACTAGTCATCAAAGAAATGCAAATTTAAACCACACCGAGATACCACCTAACTTGTCAGGATGGCCATCATCAATCACTCAAAAAACAACAGATGCTGGAGAGGATGCGGGGAAAAGGGAACACTTCTACACCGTTGGTGGGAGTGTAAACTAGAATAGCCTCTGTGGAAATCAGTGTGGCGATTTCTAAAAGATCTAAAAATCGACCCTCAATATGACCCCCTCAATTCCCCTACTGGGAATATACCTGGAAGAACTCAAATGACTCTATGAAAAAGATACCTGCACATGTATGTTTATTGCAGCATTGTTCACAATAGCAAAAACATGCATCCAACCATGCTGCCCAGCGAAAGAAGACTGGATAAAAAAATGTGGTACATATACATGATGGAATGTTACGCGACCATAAAGAAGGACAAAATTATTAACTTCTCAGAAATAAAGAACTGAGTATCATATGTTCTCAGTCATAAGCAGACCTTGAACAATTATCATAATACTATAAGTAAAGGATCAGCAGTAGAGGGAAACTGGGGGATGGGAGGGGAGAAGGGATTGGCAGCAGTGGGAATCTGCTGGGGGAGAGGGGCACACCTCATCAACAAGGGCACCTGCATAATGAACATTTGTACACCTAACCCTAAATTGTACCCCGCATCTTTAAAATAAAAAATTTTTAAAAAGGTACCACCCCTCTCAGAAACCCAACCCCCAATTATGAAGAGCTCAGTTAAAGGTCACTTTTCTCTTTTAAACTTCTAAATACAATATGCAATAAGTGCTAGCCTTGTAGAATTATGATCATGACAAACATTTATTCTAAAGTATTTGCTAGTTTTCTTATACTTAAAGATATTGATATTATATTCTCTGCTGTTTTTGTTTCTTATTTACCTTACAAAATTGTAAGTTATTTTTGCAAGTCTTTTTCCAACTCTGCATTCTTTATAGCACCAAAGAGAGTTCCTTGTACAAAAATTGTTCAAAAATGTTTTTGAATTTGAATAATCTTTCTTTATAATTTTTAGGCATAGTGATTTTACTCATATGCTTAGATTATTTAATATAATACTACACTTGATTCATTATTCTAAATTTGATCTTAAATTCTTCTTCCTTCTATCAAATAAATCAAATAAAAAAATTCCTTCCATCAAATAAAAAGCGAATCATCTCTCTTTACTAATCAGTTTAGGGAATATTTTTCTTTTTTCTTTTGAGTTGGAGTCACACTCTGTCACCCAGACTGGAGTGCAGTGGCCGCTCCCAGCCAC